GGATAACTAAATTTATGTTTTCAAAAATTATTAAGCGGTGCTGCGTTATGACGTAATTTTAATTGAGAACAGTGCATCTGACAACAAACAAATACCTTTTAGATCCTCAATTATTTTGCAACAAATCTGATCTCTTAGTTTGCTTTCAGTCGGTGCACGATACTGCATCAGATTTTTAAGGAATGTATCCTTAAGTATAGCGATTTTTAATTTTTTGAGCGAAAACCATGCGTCGAACAAAGAAAACCCAGCAGATCAAATGTGCTCAAAAATATATGGAGATTTTAAAAATAATTTTTAATTCAAGATAAAGCAGTGGCGTAGTATTTTTTCGCCAAAAATATACATTTCAAAACTCGTACGTACGCCACTGGCAGAGAAAATTAAGAAAATTGTACATCAGAAAATGCGCCTTGAGGCATGGAACATATGTACCAAATATGCCAAAGATGTCTACAAAATTATCTCAGTTATTATTAAAAAACTGATTATTTTTGAAAACTTTGCCACCCTGTATCTCAAAAGTTAAGGCGTTTAGGACATACGTCCATAGGACGTTTTTTCCTTAAAATGGGTCTAAGAATTACCTCCTTAAATATTAGCATGTGTTTAAGGAACACCCTGTATAAAAATGGATGTTTGTTGGTTGGTTGGTTGGTAAGTGATAAACTTCTACATCGCTCAACCGATCGTGATGAAACTTGACATGTATGAGTAATTTTTCATAGAGAAGGTTTTTAGGCTATCAATTTCTCTGTAACGCGCCACTAGATGGCGCTGTAGAACAATATTTTCATAGCACTGTTCTATAACGTTGCGCACGCCTAAGTTCGTTGATTCTGATTCTGTCAAAACATTGGAACATCAGCGATACAGCAACATAGTACTAGTATTTCTATAAATACACGAACTTTTTCATCAGTTTTTCAGAGAATGAGTAAAAGATCAGCTTTTTGACACTATGTTTGGTAGGTATGAGCCTTGATTTGCTCAGAATATAGGTATCTATACAATCTCATTTTCCAAAATAACTTTCCTGTAGGAATCAGCATATGGATTGAAACGTATGTCGTTTTATTGAAAGATAAAATACTCCATGTATATTTGAGAACATTTCAAGAAAAGCCAAAAGAATAGACATCTGAAATGGACATTTTTTTCATAGCATTATTTATTGATCTAAAATTTTTAATGAAGCTCGATATGACACACTTCATATACAATATACTTACTGGTTTGTTTCAATACTTTCCCTCATCCTTTACCTTAGTTGCGTTTGTCCAGCTTCTGTGAACATTCCACGTTTTTTTATATTTATATCATTAAAAGTCACCTATAATAACAATATTTTATTCAACAATTGAAACAGGTTAGTAAAAAACAGAATGAGGTAATGAACAAAAAAACAATATATTCTTAGAAAAGCACAGATAACAACATACTTTCAACAGAATATAAATACATTGCATAAATTGAATGAATTATAGAAAACAAGAATAAATAAGTAATACCTAAATAAATGATCTTGACTAATTGTGTGAACCATTTTTCGTAGCCCAAATCCTTAGAACCAACAGAAAAACGTCAATATTCTGGCAGTAATATTTACCTAAAAGTATATTCATACTTCACCAACTCAAATGTGGGGTTGCATTATGCATTATGATAGTAATCATGAATACATATTGCATTATTTTCTGTTGAAATATAAATTCTGGCAAAATGGCTCGATGATCTTGGATTATATTCAACTATTAGATATATTTGAAATTACACCTTACAAGATGCGATAATATTGCCACGTATTTAGAGAATGGAAGCAAATACAGTCGTTGTAAACTTGACGTTCACGTTGAGAGACACATTAAGTATTGTTGATCAAATTTGATTCAGCCATTAGAAGAGTCGGAAAATCCTTCTCGCTCAGCAGGTTCCAAACCCTAGTCACACCTCTGCAGATATTTCCCAAACAAATCGGAAATATCCTTCGACAGCACTTTTCTGTGCTTCAGGTCGAATAACTCCTGAAACATTTCCGATCTCAAATTCTCATCGGCATCATAAGTCAGGACAAATCTGACGGCATTCCCCCTGAGCTGATGCAGACCTGTCTCTAGAGACCACTGAAAGAGGTCGCTCACATTGTGCGGCTTCATCACATAACAACTGATCCATTCACAAAGGTAGTTGTACAGCTCCGTCAGCAGAAAACGATCTGACAGTTGGAGAACGTCCAATAGGTCCTCGACTCCGTGCTCTTCGAATTTTGGGCGCTCAAGCAAATTTAGGAGTCGTTGAAATGTTTCAGAGTCGACGTCGGGGAGGTTCACTTTATCCTCGACGCGTTCTCTGAATCGTCCACTGAACAGGGTAAGAAAATACTCTGATTTTTTCATCAAGAGTTCATGGCTGGCATGAATCACTGAGCCGTCGTCAAGCCTGAAGGTGGCCAATCCCGCATCTCTTGTGTCTAGTGTTGTTGCTGACAACTGGTCACCCAGCATATCTACCTCCTGTACTGTATGTTTCGGAATACCAAGTCTAGTCTTAGCTAGGAAGCAAATCGATGAGATAGATGCCTCCCTATATTCGTTATCTTGCTCTATGAGTTCCAGAATGATGAGTTCTCCACATGTGTCCATTAAATGGAGAAAGTCTTTCACACTGCAAAGTTAAAGTTTGAATTAATTTATTCAGTTGACTGCAGTAATTGCAACAAAAATTCAAAGTATAGAGTCCAAGACATTGAAATACTACTATCAAGCTGAAAGTGGGATGTTTGATGAATGCGAAAAGAGAATCTATTTGAAAAATTTTGGCAGAAAATATTGTGTTTTCCATTCGGATCTTTTAAATTTCACAGTAACATAAGCCTGCAATCATATACTGAATACTCCATGATATGTAGATTTTGATATACGTATACAAGCTTCACGTATGTGTATCAAGTCATTTTAACATAAAGTGTGATAATTTTCGAGTGAAATATTACCCCTTCAACTTCTTTAAAGTAACATCACCCGCTATAAAATTTCCAAAAACTACGAGGGTGCATGTGACTGTTCATTTGAAAGATCAACAGATATAAGGTTTTTAATGTTGTGAAAAAACGAATTTGAAAATTTTCAGGCGTATTTGTACGTTCGCAATGAAGTTATTACCCATCAAATTAATCCGACCAAATTTTTTGACAGCGCGTGCCATTTGGCATTTCAGTAAAATTTTCCATTTTCTCGATTAGAAATAATTTTTCCTAATTTCGACAACCTTAATTCAATCGACAGAACCAGTTGATGTCAAAGTGGAGGACCTAGCCCAATGATAACGGCCTATCTCAATCAAGTTTTGTCTATTCGATCCACCTAGGATAGGTATACAGATGGTTTGAAATCGACTGTCTTGATCGTCCTTTCGATTTGATTCGGCCAGGCTACTTTCAGAGTTTTTTAAATCTGAAGTTACTACAACAGAGCAATTAACATCAACGGTTTGAAAGACAGAAAAAGACAGAAAATCAATAGAATCACCTTGAGAACGAAACAAATTATTTCAAAAGGTTTTCTTCACCGCCTTTTCACAATTGTCAAGAAGCATGGAGTACTCAGTTTGAAAATTTAACTCGAAATGTTCCATGTTCTTGGAAAATATCATTCTAGCGTAATTTACATAGTTATTCTAGAAGGATCCATGAAATTTTTCAATATTTGGCTTATGAGCCGAATATTTGTTCAGAGTTTGATCTACGTCAAGATTTTCTTTGAATAACGTCTCCATCTTCCCCACAATTGTGATTTTATAGTTGTTTAGACAAACAGTTATAGTCCGGCTTTAGAATATTTTATTTTTCATTTATGAATCTATGAAACAATGAAAACTTTTATATTCGAAGACTTTCTACAGATTCACAGAATATCATCATCACACCGTTGCAACAAAAACAAATTCATCTTGTCTTTTATGTACAAAAAGTAAAGGACCATTCATATCATTTATGTTTCCTAATTGAAGTGGAAATCAAACAGTTGTGTGCACCGCAGTAAAACTGGATATTTATATTTATCCCTAAGATTTACGAAAACTTGAATAATCACTTGAAATGTTGATCACTATTAATACATGTCTTTAGCCTCTGCGCTCCAACAACAAAGAAATATCTATAAAGCAATCGCTCAGTTTTTTCGGAATGAATAGCATAAATACTTACTTCATTATATATGGAATGACCAAAGCCGCCTGGGTTCTCATATTTTTGTCTCCCTTCATCAAAGCGTGCTCGAAACTTCCGTGGGCTGGCTCTGAATTTGCTACGTAAAAAAAACACTGTAGGAGTTTTTCAGCCCAATGTTCCTGAGAGTGGTAGACCATCAAATCGAATGAGGGTTGTATTCCACATATCGATATTTCATAAATTTGCCCAATGATATTGGCCTGGATCAAAGGTGCAAGGTAGGCAGGACATTTGAGAATTTTTTTCAAAAGATAGACGATTTTCATCTGATAGTTATGCCCGTATGGAAGATACAGAATACTCTGCATCATGAGGAGGACCAATTTTTTTGAGCCGAGCTGAGAATTGGCGGGATCAATTTTTCGGTAGTTTGAGATCAGGTTTGTTGCTGCTTCGATGAGTTTTGTCCTCAGATACACTATCACATAATGCATTCCATCAACGTATGGCTCATCTAAAAAAGTATATAATTGAAAGGCATTTTCTTCACATTTCTTGCATATTTTCATATCAGTGACGGTAGATGCTTGAAAATGTTTTAGTAAATTAACTCAAAATTAATTTCTCCAGTTGTAATTTTTCAAACACTGGCACTGTTTAATTGAAATTAGAAAGAAATCATCAAACTTTTTTGACAGCCGAAATCCACTGTGAAAAAAAATTAATACAGCAGTCGAGTAATATCCTCAATAGTGAAGTCTTCAATAGTTAAAAAATTATCATATCGATATTTGATAGAAATATTCGTTGATAGATTTCACTGGTCGAAAATTAGGTGAAATAAATTCCGATTGGAACGTAAAACTGGAATATCTGACGCCAAAGAAGTAGGGGCACAGGTGGAAACGACGGTATTTAGACTCAGAAGACAAAGAAGGGATAATGCGCAACCCCTGGTACCAATATATCACGAGGAAGTGAAAAACATCGTAAGACGTCTAGCTACTCGGAAAACCCCAGGTCCGGACCAAATAACAAACCGGGCATTGAAAGCCCTACCACGTGAAGGAATAGCAGCTATAACAAACATTATGAAAGCTATACTCATACTGCAACACTTTCCGTACCCGTTCAAGGAGGCAACGGTTATCCACATCCCGAAACCAAAGAAGAAACACTTATCCTGAGATAACTACGGGCCAAACAAACTCAACCCCTTCCATAAGCAAAGTGACAGAACGTGTCATCCTGAAAAGATAAGAGGTCCAAACCAGCGGACTAGGAATACTACTAGATGAATAGTTCGGTTTCAGATCATCAGAATACTCGACAGAATAGCAAGTCCTAAGGGTAGTAGACTTTGCGACGGGAGGCTTCAACCTCGGCAAAGGATACAACACCACAGCGATTTTCTCAGATGTCTTCAAGGCGTTCGACAGAGTTTGGCATGACGGACTTCTGGCCAAAATGAGCAACTACTGGAAGCAGAAGTCCCACAACTTGCAGTCCTTTCGCTACACCTCTTTTCGGTATACACAACAGACGTGCCTAAACCGGAGAACATCTTTAACAAGTTGGCACTCTACGTGGACGACACAGCTCTGCTGGCGAGATCAACAAGCCAAGCGAACGTCACCAGATTCTTGCAGCAACAGGCAGACATCTTCCACAGGCCCAACCTGTGGAAGATCAGTATAAACCCTGACAAGGGTCAGGCGATACTGTTCACCCGGAGGCGAGCACACCCGGAAGGAAACGTCATCTTCTACGGACAAGAGATTTCGTGGACCAACGAAGCTAGATACCTGGGAGTCACCCTAGACAAAAAATTAACATTCAGATCTCACGTACGGCAGAGAATAGGAATGGCGAGGTCTGCCCGACAAAACCTATTACCAATAATAGGTCGAAGAAGCAACATGGGACTGAAAGTGAAGCTGCTGATGATAGAGACCGTAATACTACCAATAATTCTGTATGCCTGCACTGCCTGGGGCCAGTGCGCAGCGACATACAGAAGACAAATCCAGTCGATTATGAACGCGAGCGTAAGGACCACCGTAAACGCTCCAAGATATGTACCGAATAGGTACATATTCCGGGATCTAGACTTGAACATACACTACGTCAACACGCAGAAGACACGTTTGACAGAATTCGAACGCACGACAATCCAGCGCTACTCGATCTACCCAATGCATTAAACAAGGATGACCCTAGATTCCGATAGAGGGATTAACATAGAAGGCTAACCAAGCAGAATCAACGTTCACCTCCGAGAGTCGCTGTCAGGTGGCTCCGGTAAGTATACAATTTTTTTTAACAGGTAACAAACACTTCCTTTTCAGGTTCAACGAGAATCACTCGTCCGTGATCTCTTTTAAACAATAGTTTCCGGTTAGTTTTTGGGGACCCCATGCAAAAATTCAGTTAGGAAAGCCAAGATAAAACAAAACACTAGACAAGAAAGTAAAAGCACCTAAAGGCTGACTTTCAACTGAAATACATCAGATGTCAATCTTGTTGAAGTGCCCATCAGTAAGTTGTAGACCGCTCCGGAGGAGCAGGGGTGGATGGACGAGATGAGATGTTCTGCACACAGTAACCGTGTTGGGCGGATTTGAATTCAGGGCACTCAACCCGGGAGGAGACATGGAGGGACATTGAATAAATCCAGAACAACGCACCCGGACTTCAGATTTGTAACAGCTCTGCGTCCAAGTTGGCGTCATCAGGAGATGAACTGTGTTGTAGCTCATTTGTGCAACAGCAACGTTTGAGATGAAATTTGAGAAGTACCGCAGTTTCCTGTTTTCATTTTGTAATGTATATTTTTGGAAGAGTTTGTTTTCAGAGTTGGCAGAAATTTTGCACGGTGAAACAATATGTCAATAGAAAAAATAAACAATTTAGAGTTTTCTCTTGATCTAATAAATTTTCTGACGGAATATCAAATCATTCACTTAAACCAATGCTCATTTCAATATTTCAATATCACGTAAGAACACCGAACGGGCGTTTTCATGGTTAACTAATGAGACTACGATCAATTTAACCTTTTTCGACAGTCAGATTCTTCGAAAACAATTATAATTGATCTCAAAACAAAAAAAAATTCTTAGAATCAAAAATTAATTTTTGTTTTGGCGCTCCATCTCCTGGAGAAGCCAATTTGGTTGATGAATCGCGCGTCGAAAAGAGAATTGCAGTTGTGGTGTTTGGGAACAGTGCTTGTCTCGGATTTATTCTACCCCAAAGCTTTCAGTTATGTCTTTCGAAATGGTTTTCTCAACTGTAACGTCTATGATATTTTTCAGGGTCCTTTGGATATTCCATTTTTTGTAGATTGTAGGTGGGTCGACTGAACCATCATTATCAACTCTCACTACCCAAGCCGTTTTTGGAATAGTCAAATATTTATTATAAAAATATTAAGTTAATTTACTTACGTATGACACTTTCAGGTTCATCTTCTTCGTCAGGACAAGTAGCCTCGTCAACTTGATTTGTCGCAGATTCATCGCACTACAAAAAAAATGATAATAGTGTTGCAAAAATAAGTAATATAATAGTATTGAATGACGATATATTGTGTATATGGTTAAAAGCGAGTAAACACGAATGTTTTGGGCTCCTAGTTCAAAGTGACCAAAAGTGTTTAGGCCAGGCAAGAAAATCTTCAAACTTTCTCTGCCTATCAATTCTATCATCATCTTCTACTGGTTAACTGATCATTGTAAAAACATATGGTGATAACATGTGAAATGTTGAATCAGGAATTCTGTAAGTAACAGCTGAATTCAATTCCTAAAGAGGACTATTTCATCAAATCGTGCAAAAATAACCGACAGCGTAGCAAATACTATCGCCAGAAAAATTGTCGAGTTATAGACCAGTAAAAACAAAAAAAAAATCAACGCGAATAATTGTAGAATAATTAAGAACTTGAAAGAAGAGATTTCTCTACTAGAGTACGAGAACGAACGTTTTGTAGTAATTAATCTTGATGAAATCGATCAACAATGTTATAGATGAAAATTTGAGTCAAGTAAGAATTGAAGAACAGGCAAATGAAAATCTATCTGAAATGATTGTGAAACTTTTCAAGTCTGGGTATTCGAGATTGGTAAAGCAGATATACAAACTTGCACTAGAATGGTAAAGAAGCAAAATGATTTTCAAAGTGTATTCTCTTGAGTTTGACCACTACGAGTTCAAGATAACATATAGTAAGAAAAAATATTCCAATCATCTGGAGTTAAGAAGAAGGGTTTAACCGAAACTAGGATGAAACTCATGGAGGCCACTATCGAAAAGAATTCACTGGAAGACTTATGGTCCTGTAGTGGGAGTATATTTGTTATGAAAAATAACAAAAGAATCGCCATCAAATACAAAAATGATTCAGTTGTAGGTCATATTTTTTTTTTAGATTTCCCCCTTTTTTTATAGAAAACACTATCTATTGATAACATTTAGTATTTGTATTGAAATTCAATCTGAAATCTATAATTTCTCGAATGGATGCTAGGAACTTTGTTTTGCGCTGTAATTACTATGTGTCAATTTTATATGGGCTATATATGGGCTATATCTCACGAACGAAAGCTGATATTGAAAAATGCTTGAAACCTTTTCTAGGATAACAAGAGGAAACTGAAGTGACCTGACAGAGAACTCATCTCCATCAACCCCCTAGGCCCCACCCACCAAAACTCAAAAAGTTTGAATTGCAAACCCCTACTTGTGAAACATCATTGAACAGACTATAAAAATGCTATCCAATGGTATAAATAATAATTGTACAGGGTGAAGCAACAATTGTGAAACTTCAGCTTAAATGGAATATTTAATGAGGTTTTTGTTGAACTGCAAATGTATTACAAATGTAAATTAAGTAAATGTTCAAAGTGGGTTCCGTTGTTTTGTAAACAATAAAACAGTCTATTGTCAAAGTCTGCAGAATCATTTTACAAACCTATACCGTTCATATCAAATAAAAAACTTTGTAGAACTCATATATTAAGATAATGATTACTGTTATATTTGAAAGTGGAAACTTACCGTTATTGTGCTACGGCCTAGACGATTAAGTAGTGAAAAAAAATCCATAAGTTTTAGCTCTGGATCATTCGGTATTCCCAAGGCACGACGCAGACTATTTGTCAGAGATGGAATAACATTGCAGTCTAATTGATCTTTCATGAACTCTGCACAATTCCGACGGTCGAATATAATGACAATGAATAAAAGGCACCTCATTTCCCTCTCGGAGGTATAGTTAAATGTTTCTATAGCCTTGAGCAACACCTTGATGCACTGCCTGCGTTGTTCCAGATTATGTTCGAAAGGGAACGCCACAATATCACAGAGACTCTCGATATAAATTTCACATTCAGATGTTAATTCTGCAACAAAAATATCGTTAGAGGAATAGCAATATGTTAAGTCGAGGTTCTGCAAAATATTGATTTGAGGAAACCGTTATCAATCGCTATTGATAACGGATCAAAATCGGGGGTCTTTATTTTCGCACTGAACTCTAATGTCTGTTTTTCTGCTTGTTTGCGTGCGTTAACCTAAAAAGCCGCTCGACCGATTTTGGTGCAGTTTTAAATATTGTTTTGTGCCGAGTTTTTTATTCATTTCAATTAATTCATGAATGGAAAAGTATGCCAATTTGAAAAATTGAGAGAACTTCGCGTCAAATAGTTGTTGAAAAAAAAACAATAAAAATACCGTTCATTCAGTTGACAGGGCTCAAACATGACTATATTCATAGTTGGCAAAACGATTTTTTCATAAATTAGAGGTAGGCAAATACATTAGAACGTTTCGCAGCTAGAAAATCTGAGAAAACCTGAAAATTAAGATTTACACGATGGAAGACTAGCACAACAGCTAGGTCACACATATATACAGGGTACCGTTCGATGACGGCCGGTTAGCCAAATTTTGGGAAACAATAGGATTCATTTCATTAAAAGTGACAAAGATTAGTTTTCAAATATGCTTCTTCGAATGAATTCAAATGCGTTTTTCCAACAATTCCGGTTATATAAAAAACGTTTTTACTCAACACTCAAATGATCATTTATAATTGTTTATTGTCTTTTGATTTTGTACTCAGCATAATTCTAATATGACTTTTTGTAGTACATTCTAAACCAATATACCCTAAACCAAAAATGAACCGTTCTCTAAATATTCAATTGTTTACTCAAAAACACTTAGGTATTCGGCTCTCGTCAGGTATAATAGCCTGCAGACCACGGCCAAAAAACCCGGAAAATTGCTTTCACGCAGTATTCGAAATCTTTGTTCCTTTGGAGAGGTATTCCAGAAAACAGGCCATCAAGAATGTTTTGGGTTTTTTTTGTTGATTTCATCCTTTCAGTAGAACACAAAAAATATGTGATGGAGAACGAAGTGAGAAATGAGTATGATAACGTTCAATAGAGGGAATAGAGCTATTGTATATCGAATACAAGTCTTTCGGTTTTGTAAACCTAGTGAAAATCTCACAACGAAGTGTTACTTTAATAATTTATTCATTTATTTATTTATTCAAAATTTGGGATACAAACAGGTAAATACCCATAGAAGCATCCACTGATAGTAGTGGTTACAGAGATACACGGTGTCAACAGATAAAAGAAAAAATAAAAATTAATGAATTAATAAATTTCGTACATACTAAGCAATTATTTTTGCTATGTGTTGAATATTCTTTTCATAGTTATTTTAAAGGAATTCAACGTAATAGAGAAAACATTTTCGTTACTACAATATTTGTTGAAAGAATTACACATTCTATAGTCTATTTCAAAAGAGTGTAGAGTAATAAAATCTCATTAAGTATTCAAAAGCGCTACAGGGTGATCCGTCAATAAATTCTGTCACTTCCCTAGTCCGCATTGCAAAAATATGTCGTTTCATAAAGAGCAGGTAGGTATCACCCTGTTTTAAGGGATTTGTCCATTGTTATCGACGGATAAATACTGAGCCAGAGGCGCGCTAGTGGGATAATTGCCAAAAGAATATGCATTCATAAAAATTATATTAAAGGAAATAAAAATTTAATACAGCAGAACAGTGTTATTAAAAAAATATAAAATGTAACAATAAAATATATACGAACCGAAATCGGGAAATACTCACAAACACACACGAACGAACTTTACGTATTGAAACACTTGTGGGGACTTTAAATCAATTTATTCACAAAAACGACAAGAACTTTACTGGATACGTTATTACAATTTGACACTTAAACAATACTAAAACTGTGAACTTCCCTTAACGTTTAACAACACTCTATTTATACCCTAATTGAATGTTCTAGAGATTACTAGGTACAATTTTCGAGAACCTTCCGAGAAAATAATTATTCAGACTACCCTTAATTCTAAACCCTAACCTAAGCAAAAGTGTCACTGTCACTGATACACTGGTCTCTGTCCAGATTGCTTATCCCGCTACAGTATATTTACAATTCAATTAAATTATTCTACATCAGTATAGTCTTCATCCGAAGAACTGTCATCATCCCCTGGTGTTATAATTATAGGGTCAACCACCTGATCGACCAAGTTGTCCAGTTCCCACATTTTATCTTCCTCTTTTAAAACATGCTGGATTGCTTTTTGCCAGTTTTCTGATGTGATTTCCATAATGGCTTGATCAAACAATACCTTGACATCTTTCATTTTAAATGTGGTATTGTGCCTTGCAACATATCCTTTAACTTGTGCCCATATAAGTTCTATAGGATTTAATTCGCAATGATATGGCGGTAGGCGCAGCACAGTTACTTTATACTTTTCTGCTACATCTTCTACGGCATATTTCATGAAGCGAGATTTATGTTGTTTTACTATGGCTAGTAGTTCCTTCTTTACTGAATCCGTCTCAAACTGAATACCTTTATTTGACAGCCAGTTAATAATTTCTTGCTTTCTCCAAGCTGAAGTTGGTACCTTCTCTAAGCGCCTTGAATGGTAGCTTGCATTATCCATAACCACGACCGAATCAGCTGAAAGAAATTTTAACATTTCCCCGAAGTAGTCTTCGAAGACATCCGAATTCATGTCCTCATGATAATCTCCCGTCCGGCACGACTCAAAGCTTAACAAACCTTCTTTCAAAAATCCGTCTTCGCTTCCAATGTGAGCAATTATAAGCCTCTTCCCTTTTCCCGAAGGCACTTTAATACCCGTCGAAAGGCCTTCTATGAAAGCTTGGCGAGAACTTGTTATATTTTTATCTTGCCACATTTTTTTGACTATATAACCTTCGTTTATCCACGTCTCATCAAGATAAAAAATTTTCTTTTGCTCTCTGCGGTACTGCTTTATAGTTGTCAAATATTTTCGTCTCCAGCAAACAATTTCATCACTTTCCAGTAATAGTGCCTTTCGATTGTGCTTTTCCCAGGCAAAATTCATACTTTTTAAAGTTTTCCATAAAAGTTTTCTGGATATCAAAGGAATATCGTTATCTTGGCTTATCTCGATAAATATTTTTTCAAGAGTGGGTATTTCCTTTTTAAAATAAAACGAATGAACTTTTCTTCGAATGTCACATTTGGTGTCTTCATCTAAGATTTTTATTGGTCTTCCTGATTTTCTCTTGCATGGACTTACCTGGCCTGATATCTTTCTTTCTCGCAATAATTTAAAAATCGTGGACTGTCCAATTCCAGTCATTCGGGCACATCGCTCAACACTTTCTTGCACAGACAAACTAGGGTGATCGTGTTTTATGCAATCATATACATTTAAAATTATAACTTTTTCGCAAACAGATAGCGGAGAATTTTTTACACTTCTTTTCTTTGGAGTAAATGTCCCCATTTTATAACTTTTTCACTATTTCTATATCACAATATCACTGTACGTTTAATTGGTGTAGTAACAATTACTATTATAACTCGAATGTTTAAGACACCATTACAATATATTTAAACCCTTTTTCTTAATTACCTGGGTTTAATAGGTATTGCATGATTGGTGGGCAGGGTCAAAAAGGGATTATTATAATGACATGGCACCTCGGAACTAAGTGTTAACCCTTTTTTGAGAAATCATGCTCAAGTATATGAACCCAAATTGCATATTGAATAAGTTTACAAGAACCACTAAAATTAATCTTAATCTTTTTTTAAGAAATTTTACTTACCTAAATACATGTAGGTACTTAGTTTTAGACCAAATTACTTCCCAAAAATGGCCTTTTATTATTATCTATGTCTGTAATTTTTAATTTACTTTAATTATTAAGTTTAATAATCCTAAGATTTGCCTACGCCCATGGACGACAACGAAATTCAGGCAAATTTTATGACACTTCATGATTTATTACTCTACACTCTTTTGAAATAGACTATAGTAATTGGGGAGTTTTTGCCCAAATTTGTGCTGAAATTCGGACTGGCAAGTAATTTTCTGTTTCTAGTGTTCCTATGAGGAACGTGATAAAAAATCATTGACACTAGATTGGGTGAGTCATAACAGTTTGTTATAATTTTATAAATAAAAACTTCAGTTATTATCCTTCGTTGTTCTAGAAGCTGTATTTTGTAGTGAGATCGAATTTCGCTAATGTCAAGTGTTACATATGTCTTCGTTATTTTGAAATGCAAGAACCTTACAAATATGTTCTGGAGTCTATCTAATCGTAATTTTCGCTGCAGGTTTCGCTGCAGGAATTTATTACATAATCCAAATGGGGATTGAAAGTCATTTTTGTATCAAAATAGATTCCAATTTGGTCTACTCTGTTAATAACATTATTGCCCAGGGGGTATTGAAAATGTATTGGTATGTTGTTTCTGCAAAAAGATATACATGCACACTTATTAATATTGAGTTTTAATTTATTGAGGTAGCAGTATTCTAAAAAAGCATTGAGGTCTTCCTGAATTTTTGAACAATCTCTAATCGTCGTTACTTCTCTGAAGATTTTCAAGTCATCAGCATACAATAGTACTTGTGAATGCTTGAAACAATCTTTCAAATCATTTATAAATACTAGAAACATTAATGGACCCAGATATGAACCTTGAGGAACTCCCGAGGTTACCACAAATGGTGCAAATCTGTATCCATTTACGCTCACTAGCAAACTGCGATTGTGAAGGTACGATAAAAGCCATCTGAGGAGATCTCCCTGTATACCGATCCAAGCAAGTTTTGAAATAAGAAGGTTATGGTCGACTTTATCAAATGCCTTACTGAAGTCAATATACAAATTTATTTCTATGGCCCTCTTGGAGAAAAAACCATGCTGGCATTCTATGATTGATGACTTGATATAGTAAAACATGCTTTCGAACAATTTGCTGAAAATGAACAGTTTACTGATAACTCGATAATTTATTACTGAGTTTCTGTTACCAAAGTTTTTATAAATCGGGACTAGGAGAGCAGTTTTCCAAACATCTGGGAAAGCACCAGACTGCATGGATTTGTTGAATAAGATGCTCAAGGCAGAGCATAGACCAGAGGCACAGCTATTAACGAAGTATGCTGGGTAACCATCGAACCCAGCACCCTTATTCACATCGAGTGGCTTCATTTTCTCTAATATGATTTCTTGAGTGAACTCTATTGAATTTAACAAATTATTATTGTTGAACTGAAGAGGAACATGATATGTTTGCTGATAGGGCTCATAAACGCTGCGAAAATATGTAGCAAATAGGTCACATACACTTTCTGTAGCTGATTCTGTTAGGAATACCCTACATCATTTTTACATGAAGTTACATATTTCCAGAACTTTTTGGGGCACGTTTTAATCTCGTTTTGGATATTATTTGTATAAGTTTTAAAATAATTAAACATAAGATTTTTACTCCTTCGTCTCAGAATGCTGAATTCTTCATAGTAATATCGATTTTTGTATTTTTTCCATTTTTATGCAATTGATTTTTTTGTTTCGCGCAATTTATAGTATCGATAGAAAAATATACGGAAACTTTTTATTTTTCATATAAATTTCAGGAACATGCTGTCTGGTACCCTCTTCTAATATTTTATAAAATACAGAAATCCCCTGATCGACTCTGATAGATTGGAAAAATGCTCATCCCAGTTATGATTCAGGAAGACATTACTAAGCTCGTTATAAATACCTCTTTTGAAATTTGCTCTATCAAGTACTTTAATTCTTGGACAACTAAAATAAAATTCAATTAGTGGATGATAGGAATCAGGGTATACTAATGCCATATCACTTTTTTCTAAATTTGTCACTTGGATTTTCGAACGAAAGAGTAAATCTAATATTCTATTATCTACATTTTTCACACTATTATATTGGGAAAATTCACCAAATGATAATATGAATATAATGAAAATAAAAGCAATTTTGATAAAAAAGAAAAAGGAACTTCAACTGCAATGAAAGAAGAAACCAAGTTGGGTGAGTTTGAGGGAAAACCACGTACCTCTAAATGGAAAACTTTCGCATAATTGGATTCATATAGCCAACAATCTATGATAGGAACCACGGTGCATGTGATATTTTCAACAAAAAAACATAGTTTTGTGAACAAATGATATGAACCTTGTTTAACAGTGTTCTATAAATATGCACAATAATAGAAATGGAAATGTACAGTAATAATATTTGTAGTCACTTCTCAAAATTGAATTGGATTCAGCAATGTTCTGGAACTCTATTTTAAAGAGAAACGTTCATTCACTTACCTCTCAAGTCTGAATTCAACAATCTATTGTTGAGGATATCAAATATCTCCCGAATCGGCAGTTCACGCTCATTTTCAAAGTCCAAAAAGTTTCGAATGATGCCCACTGTATGTTTCGGCGACAGGAGCAAAACTTTGATCAGAAACGTTGAGCAGTGTTCTCCTTCGATGTTCTTCATATTGGAAAAAAATTTGTAACCGTTGAGGGCGGAAAAGTATCGTAACGCTTCGATGATTTCCTTCAAAAAATCCTCTTTGGCCCCGGTCTTTTCCCATTCCGCGGTGACCTTCATGAACACGGAGCACAGAACATTCATCACCTTGAAGGTTCCGAAGAGAGCCGAAGTCGTATGGGGGTGCGAAAGACATCTGGAATTAATAACATTGAGCTTCAAAATGTAGAAATAAAAGCAAAGAATAAGAGAATTCACAGTAAACATTGGAAGAACAAAAATATGCAATTTATTAGCTTACCTCGTCTATAATAAGGACAAGTTACTATAAATAAGGAAGAAGTATGTATTTCAGGAGAGATTAGATTTTGGAAAATGGAAAGAAAATTAAAAAATACAGTAGGAAATAACTTTCCAACAAAGACTTTCTAACTTTGACAATTGGTAACGGCCATCTTGTTGATGCTACATTTGTCAAATTAGTCGTCATTTATTCAGTCTGTTTTACCAAATCACCAAGAACGGATATAGCGTTCAACAACATGTGCGAATAAAAAATTGTTTTATCACAATGGATGTACGGTCGCCGTAATTGTTCTACCGAGAGGACTATTCGTAATGAGGTGGATAAATGTGAGTCCAGTAGTTCAGTAAACGATCAATCAACCCCCGCACGTCGATGAAACCCAAAAGCTGTCGAAAACATCGCCACTGTCTGTGAGAATGTGCAGGAAAATCCAAAGTAGTCGATTTCACGTCGCTCACAAGAACTCAGCCTTTCGCAGACCACAACTTGGTGAATTTTGCTTCGTGATTTGGGCCTGAATCCGTACAAAATTCAACCGAGAAACTGAAGGTAAACGACCATAGACAAAGACGTGTGTTCGCTGAGTGGGCTCTGGAGCAGTTAGCAACTGACCCTAATTGTCATCGAAAAATTATCTTCACTGATGAGGCCCATTTTTAAATGAATGGTTACGAAATAAACAAAATTGTCGAATTTGGTACGATACTAATCTACATGAGATCCAAGAAGATTCAATGCATCCCGAAAAAGTGACTGTTTGCTGTGGATTTTGGACTGGCAGCATCATCGATCCATTTTTCTTTGAGAACGACATTGTCCAGGCTGTCAACGGCGAGCACTACAGGTAGATAATCACCAACTTCTACTGGCCTGAATTGGATGATCTGAACACCAATGAAATGTAGTTTCAAGAAGACGGTGCTACGTGTCACACAGCTCGTGCCACTTTTTCTTGTTGGGGTTTTCTCAAGTCGCAGGTATATGCGAATAAGCTACAAACCACAACGGTCTTCGAAGCCAATATAATCCATGCCATCGGTCATATTCAACTGGATACGATTGTGGATAGTAACAATCGAAACGTCGTGACAACTTGGTTTGAAGTCTTTTAATTTTTATTCTTCATTTTTTGTTAATAATAATTTTTTAATTTTTATTTTTCAGCTTTTATTAATATTTTAATTTTTATTTGTTTGGTTGTTGTTTGTATGTTATTTATTTGTAATATCAGTTTTTCGTTTAATAAAATTGTTATTGTCGGTTAATCTCATTAATTTTTTAATTGTTTTTCCAGGGTTTTCAAATCAATTTATATTATATTAGACAATAGAAGTCCGAACTGATAAAATACACCACGAAACATTGCTAACCACCTTCAAACAAACCTCCCTTGCCACCGCTGACAAGCCGCCGATGCTTTATATGCTTATATATCAAACGAATTGAATATAATGATATAAATAGAAGATTTCAAAACCAGTGTTTCAAACTTATTCAATTCCAAAACTGAAAAATTCTTTCTTTCGAACTACGTCTTTAACCGTTTTGACGTTAACAGGAGATCATAATAGCGGATGATTATTTTCAATCCGGTATAAGCAATCTGGTCTGATGTTAGACGGTAGAAAAAAGTAATTTTCAGTATATTTGATCCGAGTTGTTGGAATAAATATCATGAAATACCGTTCAGATGATTTGGCTGGAACTGTTTCAACTATATTCATAGTTACTGAAATAATTTTCTCATAAATCAAAGATGGGTGAATACAGGCTGATTCACGGTGGATGGCACATTAGACGTTTCTGGTGAACCAGACAACGGATCACTTTGAAAATTTAATGGAGGGCATATTCGGACATTCTCTAGCCAACTAAAATATTTTCGACAATGCGGTGTTGCCGCTTCTATTAGAAAGCAGTAGCAACTTTGATTTTTCAAATG